GCTGTGCCTGCCACGAGATCTGCGCCGGTGCCCAGCCGACGCCAGGGCGTACATCCGACCCCTGCGGAAGGAGGAAGGCGGAGGAGGAGCGAGGAGGTGCAGCAAAAAAACAAGAACCCCACACAACAATGTGGGGAAGAAAAAACAACTCCATCGGGGTCAGGGGGCCTCGGCATGCGTGAAAAACAAAGATCCCAAGAGGGTGGACCATCAGAAACTCGAACAGAGAAACATGTCGCATGACGCAAATCCAAAATCCCAATCAACTTGCACAGACATGTAGCAAAACTGGTGTGGAAATGATGCAGGCGCTGCCCATGGACGTCGAACCTCGTTTGGGTTCTTTTTCTGGCTATACGAGGTGGTATGTGGTGATGAGTGAAACGCTAGGGAAGTGGTCCTCAGAATGGATGTGGATGTAGTAGAAACTCATGTGTCTGGTGGAGTGGAATTAATTGATGGACCAGGCCAAGCCCTTGATGATTGCGTTGTCAGTGTGGATCACCCAGGATCTGGCTTTGGCGTGGCAAACGGCACCATGGCTCTGGAGAAGCAAATTCATTGCTTGTTCTTCACCTCCGCTGGTGAATTTGGTGCCTTGGCCCCAGGCAAGGATGTTGACAATGATTGAGTGTGTGTTTTTTGCGAGGTTCCATGTGTTGTGAAGAATGCGGGCGTGTTCTGCGTTGTCATGTTGTGGTTGTTGGGTAATGCGTACGGCTTGGGCAAAGAAGCCCGGGTTGTTGGCAAAGTGGAGTGTGCTAGATAGGAGACGGCCCTGTTGTAGGATGTTGTTGATGTTGCCAAGAGGGCCGGTGTGGCCCGCGTTGATGTGGACCATCTCTGGTGTGGGGGAGGTGGCGCGTGTAGCGGGTGGTGGGAAGCTGCGGGTTGCTTTTTGAACGAGACTGGGAATGGTGACGCAGTGGTATTGGTAAATGTCATGAGTGTTGGTAGTGTCGTTCCATTTGATATGTGTAAATTGGCGGAAATCTGAAAGGTCTTTGTAAGTAAAGCCGCTGTCGAGTAGCAGTTTGGCGATGTATGTGTGTTGTGGTTTGTTGGGTGCTTCAGCTGGTCTGCGTGCCAATCAAGCCAGAGTTCCAGCTGTTCTTGTGGGGTGCGTTGTTGAAATTGTGAAAAAGGTCGCCATGGCTTGGCAGGTCTGCGCAACGCAGGGATGTTGGGATAGCTGGTCTGTGAGAGGTTTGCGACGGCATCTTGTTGTATTGAGTCGTTGTTGGGTAGAAGAGAGATGGGTGGCCTGGAGCGACTGCGTGAGCGACTGTAGGAGTAGGTGGAGTAGGAGGAACAGGAAGGTGAGCGCTGGCGGTGGTGTCGTGTGGAATGGTGTCCACGAGAGGCATCCTGCTGGGTGGTTGAGTGCCTGGTGTGGTGGCGATGGGTGCGCCTGCCGCGAGTGCGGTGGGGCGGTCTGCTTGTGTTGAGGGTGCCATGGAGGTTGGCGATTGGTGGCCAGGAGTGGTCGCGGCTGGAAGTGATGCTGGCGCTGCAGTAGGCAAAGGATCAGGAGGAGATGAAGTGGTCTGGTGCTGTTGGGTTGGGCTTGGTGGAATAGGAGCTGGTTGAGTGACTGGTGGGAAAACTGAAAATGGTTGCCAAACGCCTTGACTGTAATCCCATTGGATTGGTGCCGGCTGGCAGGCTTGTGATGGAGCTGGTTGTACATGAGGTACTGGCTGTTGGTGTGGTTGTGGTTGTGAGGAAATCATAGCCGGAGGTTGTGATGGTATAGGTTCTTGCGGAGGCAGTGAAAAAGAGAAAGGAAAAGTGTGGGGATGTGGTATCGGAGGTGTGAGCTGTGTTGGTGGTTGAAAGTGTGGTTGCGGTGGATGTTGCCATGTTGGCTGCGGCATGTGAGGCAAAGTCTGTGGCATGTGTGGAATCATGTGGGGCATGTGAGGTTGTGCCGGCTGAATGGGAAATGTGTGGGCCGTTGTAGGTGGTGGTTGTTGAGGCCAATATGGGTATGGCCATGGATACTGCATTGGCTCGATGTTTGTGATGGTCGAGGTTCCACTCAAAAGATGTAGATTGAAATGTAGTAGCTGCTCGATGGCACCAGCGCGGGGCGGCAGCTGTTGGAAGGTCTCTGCTACTTGTACCCGTGAAATGAAGTCGTGAAATGGTGGTGACGCATGAAAGTCTGAAAAGTATGAGAATGACATGCCATGAGAGGGTAGTGATGTATGAAAGTCTGAAACTCGAAAGTGAAGTGGCATGAGATGAGAAACTGTAGGTGGTGAGTCGAATGTGTGGAACATCTGTGGTGAGAGATTGAACGTGAGTCGACTGTACACACTTGAAACTCCAAAGTCAGCTGCGTATCAAAACATTGAACATGAAGTGAAAAGACATGCCGAAAGTGCAAGAATCTGAAAGAGTTCCGTCGTATTAGCCCGGCGGCTCAAAAGGCAGCGAATTCAGGGTGGGTGAAAACAGTTAGGGAAATTTTAGTTGCTGAAACCGATCAAAGCAGTTAGACGATTTCCGGAATGATGACAGCGCGTCCTTGCGGAGGATCACACCCAGCACCCAAGTGGGACGGCTGAGCGGTTCACACTCTGACATTGGTTTGCTGTTAACTCAATTCCCACGATGAGAAGGAAGGTGATGGAACGGCAAGGTGAACAGGTCCGCTGACTTGAATTGTTGAAAATTGTTTCACTCGCTCTGCTGGCTACAATGCACAAGCGGCTGAAAACTGCGGTGGGAAACCTGTTTGTGGGGAAGGTATCGTGAAAGAACCATGAATCAATCAAACCGTGGAAAAGTAGGGTGACAGCTTGTGGAAAACTCCGCAGGTACATGAGAGTGATCAGCTCTCACTTCCCTCGACACATCATAGCTTCGTTGCGTCAGGTAGATGTGTCGAGCCTGACGCCCCTGCTTGCATGTCCGAAAGAAAAGTAGCACCCTTTGGAACAGGGGTTGACACACACACATACATATATATAACAAAATGTAAACATAATTATCAGTTTGGGCAGCTGAGGACCGGCGACACAGAGATGAAGCTGGAGGAGTGCAAAGAAGCTGAGCCCGAGAAGGCAGTGCCAGAAGTTGCTGAGGGCGAAAAGGATGGAAAAGAGGGAAATAAGAAGAACCAAGAGGAACCTGAGGAGGCGCGCTCTCAGAGACGGCTCTTGTGACTTCTAGTGAGTGACAGCGATGGTCACTACTGATGACTAGTGTTTTTTGCTTTGTGAATGCGTTGTGACGTATTGTGTCAGGGTTGTTGGTCGTGAGGAGGAAAACATCGATTATTTGAAGGAACTGGAGGAAGAACTTGAGCAGGCAGAGTATGATGTCTTCGAGGTTGAGGATGTCACTGAACCTCAGCGAGCGTTTCGCTGTTGATCTGCGATTTCTGTCCAGCGTGAAAGGATTTCTGTGAAAGCACTAGCGGGCATTCTTATCCATACTAGTCGTATAAAGGACATATTATACTGTACTGTATATTGTGAGATCTATATATATATATATGTGTATATCCTTTTTGATACTACCAATTAGCCGCCCACCAGCGGACATTCCAAGCTTTTCTTGCTGCAAATTGCTCAGCACATTCGTTTGCAGTTCTGAGACAAGGAACCTCGGTTCGCAATCATCCAAGGACATTGGAACTGGCGAACCCCTCTTCTGCAATTTTGGCTTTGAGGCACCTGGTCCATTCTGTTCCACTTTGTGCCATTTGGCTGTGAAACGATTCCCTACATGGACCATGCAGAGATAGCACCAGGGATAAATCCACAAGTCGCACTCCTCAGAGCCACCCATCAATACTCTGGGATCGTTCATTGGCTAGGACTGGGCTTTGCTGAGTTTGCGCTTTGAGCTGCACTTGCTGGCACACGCTTTCCTTCACGACTGTGGGGATCCGGAGAGGCACTGGAATTTTGTGGAGCCTAGACCGTTCACATCACCGCAGTCCAGGTCTGGCATTTATCCAGACCATTTGCTTTTCTACTACAGCAGGCCCCGCTAAAATGCTGCCTGACTTGAGCTGCAGTCTACCTTTAAAACCAAAGGCATTCCTACATACACAAAATGCGCAGGTACTTCAAGAAGGGTTTGAATCCCAAGAACTATGGCGTGGACAATGTGGAGGAGCTCGTTGGCCTCGTCCGGGACGCTGTGGTCTTAATGTGCCCACCAAAGGCAGGGGAGGGAACGGCGGGGAGTATTCCAAGACATGTTACTGAGCTTGGTTTTGCTGCGGGGATCTTACACACCCAAGTTCATACCAGATTGATGAACATCGAATAATGTCACTTCACGTCCCGATTTACAATAACTTTACACTTCGAGGTGAGCTGAGCCGCTACTCCACAGGTCCTGGAGTCAACTTTGGCTGCTGAGCTGGAGGGCAATGTGGAGGGCTGAGCACATGTACTACCCGCCACAAGGAGTAGTGAGTAGTGAATCAATAATTGGATGATCAGAGCTGTTGGTTGTTTTTAGTCCAGATGGGCTTTGGTTGCTACTTGCTCTGACGGGCTCACAAAGGATTTGATGACGTTACCAGACCTTTTTCTCCCTTCTTTCAAACGAACACGACACTTGTACCGGAGCATGCGTACTTTTCTTTGTGACAGCTCTTGCCATACCTCGATGCCACAATTTTAGAAAAACGGAAGCACCAGCACATAAAGATGATGAATCTCCCATTTGTTGTGGAGGAAGGCCACTGTTCTTGATTCAAGACTATTCCGCAGTAATGACTCAACGACTCATGACTCATGGCTTTTTGAGGACATTTTTGTCAAGCTCACGGAGGAAGCACGACGTGACCGCCTGCGGAGACTAGATGGAGGTGATGAGAGTGTTCGGGTGCCGAGATTGGAACGTGGAGAGGCAGTTGATGAACAAGATGAGTCATGTCAGAAGGCAGACATGGAACTCCTTTAGCGTGAGGCCCGGCTGAAGTTTGCAACCGGGGCGAACGCCGTCAAGGCAAGGTGTTGGCTAAGATGGCTTGCCAATTTTGTGGGGTTGTGTATCGCTGCTGATCCTACTGCGCCCAGCCCAACAGGCAGCCACTGCCAAAGCTCCAGTGGTTGTCCCCAGCAAGACTGGGGTACAAGTGTCAGCACCGCCTTGGCCTTAGCTGCAGCTTCAGACCTGGAAACCAAGGTAGTGAAGTGTCGGGAGCTGTTCCAAATTTCCTCCACGATTGAATACAGAGATTCCACATTACCTGGGTAGATAAGCCAAGAAAAGCCACAAGAGAGGCCCAACCTGACCGAGGAAGTCTCAGCCCATGATGGATCAGAGCATGATGCAGCAAAGGTGCTTCTGCCGCGCAATTTGTGGTTTGGCTGTTGGTGGCAGTGGGTGGCTGTTGGCCACCCAGCTGTGCAATACATGCTATATCCATTTGCTGTTTGGGCGTCAGGCAGGTCCTTCGGCCACAGATGCAGGCGCCCATGGGGCCCATGGGTTCCATGGGGCCGATGGGGCCCATGGGACCGATGGGGCCCATGCCTGGCATGCAACGACCCTGGGCACCACCGGGGTGCGCAAGTGGAGAGGTGTTGAGAGTCTAGAGGAGTTCATATGTCCGCTTTTTGGCTGTTTACTTTGGGAGGTATGGGCCTGGTGCCATGTTCGCACAGAGGGCCATGATGGTGGAGCACCTAAAGTTAAAAAGGCATCTCCTTGCCTCCTTGCTGTGCACCAAGAAAGTCGAACCACCAAGGCTAGAGGCTTCAACCAGAGCTGGTGAACCCACGCTTCAGCTGTGGCCACTTGAGGAAAACCATAAGTAACATTAAGTAACTCAGTCAGTCGATGAGGCTAAGCTGCCAATGCTTACTCACTCACTAAGTGATTGGGAAAAGAAACCGTTCGTGCCTTTCTGCTTTGACTGGTGACGATTCCTCCCTGACGTTTGACTTTGGGGTCATGATCCGTGATGATCCTGTGGCAGTTGTTCGCTTTTCCATGCTTTTTCCTCGAAGTGAGTCTCACCGGTGCCTTGTGGGCGGTGCACCTCCGACAAATGCCGTCGTTGCACGGCGTCGTGCGTCGCAGTAGCCGAAGGGCTTCGATTGGGATTTGGTGTTGGCCGTAAAGCGGTCCCAATGCCTTCCGTCACCCCTGAGAAAGTTGGACTTTCCAGGGAGGCCCTTTTGTTTGGATTGGAGCGGGGGTGATGTGCCCAACGGAACACGAATAGCAGAGACGTTGATGGTCTTGAGCCAGCTTTATGTGTGGAGTAAAGCCATGAATCATGAATAGCCTGAATTCTGAACAGCTACACAGCATTGCAAGCATGGATTCTTGACGTGAAATGGTCCAGCACAGACTGACCGTGATATCGGCTCATCAACGCAGCCATCAGAACTCAAGCGAGAAAGTCTCAAATGAAGCCCAATGAGCGCGCATTCAGCACAAAGCGCGATTGAAAGCACGAGAGAGCAACGAAGAGCGTACCCAACCATCCAGAAATATCCAGAACCGTTTCAAGAAAGTTCCTCCGTTGCTGGCTTACTTTTGGAACGTATTGCCACACTCTTTGAGGGCCCAAGAGTTGCCCAGAACTGGACTAACAGATTTCAGGAGACAAGACTCATTGCTTCACCTTAAGACTGGTCTAGTCAAGTCAGTCTAGATGTCTGATGAGGCATGGGTCGAAGTCTCAGCAAGAATGAATCAGAGACCAACCGCGCTGAGCACAGTTGCCAAGGTCAGAGATTTCATAGCAGCAGCAGAGAGTGGTCATGCTCGGAGCCCTGATGCCTGGCAGGTTGTCCAGAAAGGACCTCCACCAAGTTTTTGATGTGTCATTGGTGAGGCCGGCAAGACGCTGGAGTTGGTGGAAGCCGCCGGGCCTCCGGATTTAAGCACCCCGGAGTCGGAACACCTGGTTTGGTTCTTTCTGGAACCGGAGGTTCGGAAGGAGCGCTGGGCTGTCAAAGAAGCGGCTGGCCTCCTCAGATTGGCTCTTCTTGGTGTCATTCGGTGTCGCGAGTAGACCACATGGAGAAGCTGGGTCAGTAAACTAGGCCACCCTGGGCATGGCAAGCCTCAAGGCGGGATATTTTCATGATTTTTCCATGACCAGAGATGGTTGACTTGGCCGGCAAATCTTGGCAATATTGTTGCTATTTGATGCTATTTGGAGTGTCAGTATGAGCTAAGGTTAACCAGCACACTAGGTGAAACAATGGTGAACAGATTCCTGTGGGCTATTCTGCTCATTTTGAGTCAATTCACCCAAGCAGCCCGCGACCAGTCAGGCTGGCCTGGACCGGGAGAGCTGCGCTGCAGGCGGCATGGATTGGCAATTTTGCGTAGCCGTTCAGATTTCATATTGGGTTCACAGGTTTCTTTGACAGTCTTGCTTCACTTCGCGTGATTCAACTATTATGACTTCACTCACAGCTTATGTGACATCAGATTCCGTGGTTTTAAAGGCCGCAACCGCGTGCTGCGGCAATGGCTGGCTGAATGCAAAAACCAGGCGGCCTGGATTTGATCCGCGAGATGCATTCAGGATATATATATATATATTTAAAGGCTTACGCCTAACAGCCGGGCGCCGGCCCACTTGGGTCTGTGGGGCGTATGTCACGCCTATGTTGGCCTTGGTGGGGCCTATATTGAGCAAAGTGAAGCTATCTGGTGCGCATCTTGGCCCTAGGTTGGGCCAAGTTGGGCCCATGTGGTCTATGTTGGGCACATCTTGGGCCCATGTTGAGCCCATGTTGGGCCTATGTTGGCCTATGTTAGGCCTATGTTGGCCTATGTTGGCCTAGGTTGGGCCTATGTTGGGCCTATGTTGGCGTATGTTGGCCCCAAGTTGGCCTATGTTGGCCCTATGTTGAGCCATCTTGGAGGCTATGTTGGGCATATGTTGGGGATATGTTGGCTATCTTGGGCCTATTTTGGGGATATGTGAGGCAATTTATGTGGAAAAAATCTTCCGATACAAGCAGTTCCCGGGCAAGCCGGCGGCGGAAGTTTCCAAAAAGAACACATTGACCTATAGGAGTGTCCACGTTTTCTCCACCATGCGTGTCCCTCGTGTCATTCACTGAGCCAAACGCATGCGCTCCGGACTGTTGACACACACACACACAGCGCCACCTGTGCAAGGTCTGTGCTCCCTGCAGGATCAGCGCACTGGGTTATGTCTATACCAAAGCAAGATCACCAGCCCACAGCGGCGTGCTGAAGCAACTGGGCATCTGCAAGCGAAAGTTAAGTGCAGCTGGTGCGGGCACGCGAAGTGGGTGGTGTTTTCAAAGTCAAAATCATGTCTTCATTGTCCAGCTTGCCAAATACTCCGCGTACTTTACAGTTGAACAACAAAGTCGCCAGTTCTCATTTTCCAGCTCCCCAGATACTCAGCAGCGAGAGATGACTCATCCGCGCACGAAAGTTGTACTACAAAGTCGCCAGTTCTCAGCTTCTAGCTGCACAGATTGCTCCGCGTGCTGAAGTTGTACTACAAAGTCGCCAGTTCTCATCGTCCAGCTTGCCAGATACTCCGCGTGCTAAAGTTGTACTACAAAGTCGCCAGTTCTCAGCTTCCAGCTCTACAGATTGCTCCGCGTACTAAAGTTGTACTAGAAAGTCGCCAGTTCTCACCATCCAGCTCCACAGATACTCCGCGTACTAAAGTTGTACTACAAAGTCGCCAGTTCTCAGCTTCCAGCTCTACAGATTGCTCCGCGTACTAAAGTGCACTAGAAAGTCGCCAGTTCTCACCATCCAGCTCCACAGATACTCCGCGTAGCCAGTTCTCCTCGTCCAGCTCGCCAGATACTCCGTGTACTAAAGTTGTACTACGAAGTCGCCAGTTCTCAGCTTCTAGCTGCACAGATTGCTCCGCGTACTACTGCAAAGTCACCAGTTCTCAGCTTCTAGCTGCGCAGATTGCTCCGCGTACTAAAGTTGCACTACAAAGTCGCCAGTTCTCATCGTCCAGCTTGCCAGATACTCCGCGTACTAAAGTTGTACTACAA